GTAAAGACAACTTTGAAAGACTTACTATCTTGGATGAGCATAATGACTAGCCACTATTCCAGAGGACTAATAATAAAGCACACTAACCACCTTGTGACAGAGAGGTGAGGAGCTCAGAGTGTAGTGGGTGTAGTTCTGTGTGTGTATATGTGTGTGTATGTGTGTTTTTCTTTTAAACACGGTCAATGTGGATATTTGTTTTACTTGATTATACATGATTATCAGAAGGTTTTGTTTTTCTTTTGTTCTCAGTAGAGGGAGTGGGGGGAAAGAGTGGATTTTTGCTGAAATTTAAATTAATTTTAATAAAGAAAATTAATTTTAATAAAATCTTTCATTTCCTTCTTTTCCATGAATCTCTCCCTGATCAAACCAGATGAAAGAGATCTCTCTGTCTCTCTTTCTCTCTCTCTCTTCCAATTTCTCTTCTTCACCCCTATCATAGTGTACTTTGTATCACCTTCATTTGTGTAAGCTTTACCCACCTCCACATTAGTTTGTAAGGTCCTTGAAAGCATTGACTTATTTTTTAAGCTTTTTATCTTCAGTGCTTAATAAATGTTTATGGAATTGGATTCATTAATGACTGGACCCCTGGGAATTTAGGCTCTGCCCAAGGAATTTCTCAAAAAGCCACAAGTCCCTCCTAGAAAGGATGACCAGTCACTGAGGTCACTTGTATAGTGCTGTCTTGGTGCTTTCAGTAGATTTCTACAAGTGGCTGGGAGGTCAAGTACTGGGATGGAGTTGAAGGCAGACCCTTCCCCCACAACCTGTGGTTCCTTAGACTCCAGCTGGGCTTCCTCTCTATCCTCTTATCAAACTGAGTTTTTCATGGTCCCCAGGTTCAGCATTAGAATCAGGAGGACTTGGAGATTTGATTAACTACCAGACAATCTCGCCCCTCCCCCACCCCAGCAAAAAAAATCAGCCTGTGCAATGTGATGAAGGATTAGGCAGAGGGAGGCTACCCTCATGTCCACGTCTCCTAAATTCTGTATATTATAAAATACCTCTAGGTGTTTTCATAAAAGTGTTTTCATAAAAGCGGGTCCTCCAATCAACTCTCACCATTTCTTGCCAGTTTTTATGAGAGAAGACTGTTCTCCATAGAGGCCCATGGATGACTATGAGTAGGAGTGGCTCTGGAGAATCAGGTGCCAAGGAAGACAGTTTGGTTGGCTTCTCTGGCTGGAGAGCCCCACTACCATCTTGGTAATGGTGTGGAAACATAGGAAGGCACTGGTCAATAAGGAAGGCCAGTATCCTTGAATGTTTCCTGAAGTCCATGTATGGGAAAGTTCTTCTGACTTGTCACGTGGACAAGCATTTCTGAGTCTGCAGAAGAAGAATGGGGGAACCCAAGGGGGCTTTTGGAGGTGTAGCTTCCCCAGAAGTATAAGTGATATTATCAATCAAAACTTATAAAAAAGGTCAATTGAGTACATGGAGAGGAGGGAACTCTGGAACACCTCAAGGCTGATACTAGGGAGGCCACTGCTGGTGAAAAAGTGAGGGAAGTGTTGGCAAAGGAGGAGCTTACCTGGATGAGGCAATTAGGAAAAGAAAGCATGCCACCCGCTAGCTTCCTTCCATAACTAAATTATTCTTTATAACTAAGTGCCAAACTTAGTTGTTTCTATCTTCTGAAAGAGTAAAAGAGCTGAAAGTGCCTTGTAAATTTTCACACCCTAAGGCAAAGCCCTGACTGTCCCAACCTGGTTAGAACTCTGAGTTTCCCACTCTTAGCTCTACCTTTGGGCCTTTTTATTGTCTCTTCAAAGCTCTCTGGTTTCCACTGCAGAGGCAGTCTTAGAGTTAAGCATAGGTTAGTGCAGTCAGGGCTTTCCAGACATGATGTTAATACTTCCAGGACTCCTGATTTCAGTAGTGTAGAGAATCTCCCAACCTGTATCAGTTGAAGTTCTTCCACACCTTAGTTACTTGCTGTGGTTGAAAAATAACTCCTCCCCTGGTGGCCAACCTTCTGGTGATGAGTCTTTCCAGACTTATCTAGGCTGGTCTCTACATGGCAGACACAGTTCATCGTTAGGCCTCTACTTGAATCCTTTCCCATTCTGTAGGACCTGCTGAGGCTTGTTCTACAGGGACACAGTTTTAGAGAAGCCAGGCCTCAAAAGCACCAGAGAACTTCCTTGGAGGTTTCAGACTTTGCAGAGAAGGAAGAAGGCACTGGCTTTCTCTTTGTGTCCTTCCCAGACCTGGAACATCAAGCAGTCAAAAAAAGAAGAAAATTAGTAAATTTGGGAATTCCCCCTGCCTTATTCCTGGGGTTCTGAGGTCCCCCTACCTTGAAGCAGGCAGAGAGGGACAGCGGAGGAGAGGAGAAGAGGTTACAGAACATGGGATTACAGGTGGCAATATGGCAGAATAGATAGAATGCTGGACTTGGTGTCAGGCAAGTCTGAGTTCAAATCTTGCCTTAGATATTAGTTCTGTGATTTAATAAGTCACTTAAGTTCTCAGCCTCAGTTTTCTCATCAGTAAAATGGGGGCAAAAATAGCACCTACTTCACAGGGTTGTTGTGAGGACCAAAAGAGATAATATAAAAAGATTTGCAAACCTTAAAATAAGATTAAAATGCTAGTTATTATTATAGTTATTATTATCTTAGCGCTGCAAGGAACTCCAGGTATCATCTATCCAACCTCTTAACTTCACAGATGAGGAAACAGAAGCTCAGAAGGGGATCAACTTGCCTAAAACCGATAGGCAGCTTTGAGTTGGCTGGTAGGTAGGTTTGAGGCTGACAGAGGAAGCTCCTAATCTGCCTCCTTTCTCCCAAATGTTGTGCCTCCCTCTACTGCATCATTTTTTGTCATTTGTTTTGGGGAGGGAGTCCAGGGACAAACCAATGACTTTGGCCTGACAATAATCTGGAAAGTTTCCAGGGAAAACAATGCGATTTCCCATCTTTCCTGGCTTCTGAGGATGTAGAGGAAATATTAGAGATCACCAAGTCCAGGGATTCTTAGCTTTAGAAAAAAAAATCATGGAGCCCTTTGGCAGTCTGGACCCCTTTCGGAAATAATGTTTTCAAATACATAAAACAGTATTCACAGGATTGAAAAGGAAACTAATTTAATATCCAAATATTTTTTAAAATATTAAGATATTTTATAACAAGTTGACAAACTTAAGAACTCCTGATTCTAGTTCAATTCTTTTGTTACAAAAAAAGAAACTGAGGCCCAGAGAGGAGCCAACTTGCCCAAATCCATATACCTGTATGTATCAAGGCTGTAATTTGAATTTACATTTTTTGATTCCAAGTTTAGCCCTGCTCCCAATACTCCCTACCCTAAAGAGACAGAGGCTTCCGAGATGAGCATGGAGACAGAGGATCCAGTCTCTCTTAAAAAAGACATAAGGCCACTTGGACGCCATCTGCCTACACCTCTGGACTCTAGGTATGCCAATATTTTCCAGGCCCCCACCCCCCAACTACAAGAGGTAAGGAAGGGGCTTGACACACCTGCTGCTTTGTTGTCTGGGATTGAGTTTTTTGGCCTTTCTTTGTATTCCCAGAGATTAACATAGTGCCTGGCACAGAAGAGGCCCTTCTTAATGCTGGGTGACTTGCTTGCCCTTTGCCCCCTGTCCCCTTATTTCTGAAAGCCAGGGTCTGGGGGACAGAGGGAGCAGATAAGAGTGAAGCCCTCTCTCCGATTCCACTGCCATCTCTTCCTGCTTCCGTAGGGTAACGGTCTCTCTGCTCCCCTGTAATGGGGGTAACATTAAAGGTGTAACTTCACCTGAAGAACAGTCCCATCTCCCCCCACATACAGGCGACCTCCAGAGAAGCTACAGAAGTGTTTTCTGAGCAGCTCTCCCCTGCCTGCCCACCCCACTCCATTATCCCCACCCCTGGCTCAGATTTAGAGCTGGAAGGGACTTTTTAGTTCCTGTTCCAGGAACTGTTTTTTGGTCAGTGTAATAAAAACCTCTTGGTGAGGAAACTGTCCTCTGCTAGTAAAGTTGGTTAAATTGTTCTGCAGCTCAAGCAGGTGACAGGGACACGGGAAAGGTTAGGAAACATACTCAGGGTACTCGGGTCCAAGAAGGAGCGGGAACCTAGCAAGGCTACGCCCAGCTGCTACTCTGCAAAGGCACCATAGAGATCTTTATTCCAACACACCCTTCCCACCCATTTTACAAATGCGCTACCTGAGGCCCAGAGAGAAGGGACGTGACCAAAAGTCCCAGCTAATAAGTAAAACTTGAACCCATGTCTCCCACGCCACTCCTTGGAGCCCCGAGGGAGTCAGAACCCGCTGGGTGAGGCGCTCCCAGTGCCCGCAGCAACTGAAAAAGTTACGGGCATACCCTGGCGCAGCACGCTGCGGGTACTCAGTGCAGGGAGCTGAGGCTGGGACACCGAGCCAAGCTGAGCTGACTCTTGGGCAGTGCGTGGTCTGAGGGATGAGAGGAAGGAGAGACAGAGAGAAGGGGAGGAGAAGCCGTTCAGCCAGGGCTCCGGGACACTCCCCTCTCCTCCCCTTTGGGTCTCTTCTTTCCCAAATCCTCGGACCCATCGGTCTCCGCCCCCCATCCTGGGCCTCTCTCATTGGCTCCTGGCGTCCCCCGCTGCACCCCTCCTGGGGCTGCCCCCTCCCAGAGCCCAACTCCTGATCCTGGGCTCTGAATAAATAGCCTGGAGCGCCAGCGGCTGGAGCGAGGGGTGGGGGGAGCCCCACATGTGCTTCGGAGGGAGCCAGCTCATTCCTGATAAAGTGTGGAGGGAAGGTAGGGCAGGGTGGGGTGGGTGGGTGGGGCTATTTCGCAGTCCCTTTCCTGGGCACCTACCTCTGCTAGGGTGCGGATCCCCTTCCTTCTGTTTTCGAGCGAAAAAAGCTTCGCAGGGTCTCTGAAGCTTTAGGGGACTGTGGTTCTAATTGCCGTCGAGCTGGAAAGCGGGGCAGAGAGACAGCAGGAGCGGTTCACCGAGGATAGCTTTCCCCGAATCCCCTGCGGGACCATGGAGTTGCTCCCCCCGCCGCTGCGTGACATGGACTTAGCAGGCCCGGACAGCTCCCTCTGCTCCTTTACCACAGCCGACGACTTTTACGATGACCCCTGCTTTGACTCCCCCGACCTGCGCTTCTTCGAGGACCTGGATCCACGTCTGGTGCACGTGGGCGCGCTCCTGAAGCCCGACGAGCACGCGCACCATCCCGCATCGGTCCCGGGCGCCCGGGAGGATGAGCACGTGCGCGCGCCCAGCGGTCACCACCAGGCTGGCCGCTGCCTGCTGTGGGCTTGTAAGGCGTGCAAACGCAAGACAACCAATGCGGACCGGCGCAAGGCGGCCACGATGCGGGAGCGGCGCCGTCTGAGCAAAGTGAACGAAGCTTTTGAGACCCTGAAGCGGTGCACGTCGAGTAACCCCAACCAACGACTGCCCAAGGTGGAGATCCTGCGGAACGCCATCCGGTATATCGAGGGGCTTCAGGCGTTGCTGAGAGACCAGGACGGGGCAGCCCCTGGCAGCACCGCTGCCTTCTACCCTCAGGGGGCCACTGCTCAAACCCGCGTGCTTGAGCATTACAGCGGAGACTCGGATGCATCCAGCCCGCGTTCCAACTGCTCAGACGGCATGGTGAGGTGGTGGGGGCAGAATGAGCGGGGCCAGCGGGCAGGGCTGGAGGGAGGAGAAGGGGGCAGGAGAATGATGAGGAGGATTGTGGAAGGAAAGTGACTACATAAGGTCTAAAGGGGGGGGGGCCGTAGAAACCCACCTCCCAGGAGCTATGAAGTAGTACCCAGGTGTTTGGGGGCAATCTTTCCGTTGATGCCATAGGAGGAAAGAAACCACCGGATGGGGATGGTCTGGCCTGGTAGGGTAGAAAACACGCATTTATGGAAGAAAGACTTTTAGGGTTGGAAAAGTTGTTAGAAATTATATAGTTCAACTACATTATTTAAGAAATAAGGATTTGCCCAAATCACACAGAAAGTTTGTGGTGAAGCGGGAGGTGGTCTCTAGATTACACCAGTTGGAGGGGGGCGGGGAGGGAGGAGTCTGCTTTACAGAGAGAACGGAACTGGGTTCCGATCCTTGTTCTATTGGTTAATTTACCTGTGTGACCTTGGGCAAGTCACTTCTCACTTTCCCCATCTGTATAATGAAAGGGTTGGGCTAGGTGGTCTCCAAGGTGCCTCCTAGCCACAAATCAATGCTCCTATGGGCTACCTCAGCCCCTACCCCTAGAAAACACACAGGACCCCCCTGCAGTGGGAAATTTGGGGCAATTCCTGGGGTTTCAGGAAGGAAGGGAAGAGGGGATATCTGTTTGTTTGAAGCCCTGGGGTGGGCTGGATCAGGGCCTGACACAGGATCTACTCTCTTGTCTCCAGATGGATTACAGCGGCCCCCTTTGCAGCTCCAGGCATAGAGGTGGCTATGACAGTAGCTACTACAGTGATTCTCCAAGTGGTAGGTATCAAGTGCTCTCTGCCCCAGCCCCAGCCCCTGAATCCCTACATACAGTGTATGAAATTCACTGTCCAGCCAGGTCTGCCTTTATCTGGACTCCTGCCAAAAGAGAGAGAAGGACCATAATTCAGTGTACTTTTAGTGGGATTAACCCATCCTTTTACTGGGTTCTGGTTCAATTCCCTCCTTTTAGAGAAGAAAAAACCTAAAATCCAGGGAGTCTAAGGAACTGGCCAATAGCAAGTTAGTGGTGATGTCTGTGCCTCTGTCATCTTGGTAGAATGGGTACAGAGGAGGAGTGGTTTGTATATAGGAGAATGAGATCTTTGAGCTCCTGAAGATCCCATCCCTGGACTTCAGAATCTATCACTCATCCCTAATTTCTGCCATTTTTTTTTTACAGACACCAAGCCTGGGAAGGGACTGGTTGTGTCCAGCCTGGACTGCCTCTCCAGCATTGTAGAGCGCATCTCCACTGAGGGGTCTGCATGCCCTGTGCTGCCCATGGGAGAGGGCACACCCTGCTCCCCACAGGAGGCCACCACTCTGAGTGAGAGTGGTGCCCACATTCCCTCCCCTCTTCCCAGTGGGAGTACTCAGCTTTCTGCTGACAGCAGCTCTGGGCCTAGCCCAGTACCCACTCCTAACCCTATCTATCAGGTCCTCTGAGGTGGGGCCATTCCCAAACCTCCTGGCTACCCCATCTGTGGCTGCAGGGAGGTCAGACAAGACTTTGGGAGGGGGCCCATCTCATTCAAGTCTAAGGCCGCTGAGGCTTCCTTGGAATGTGTTTCTGTCTCCTCCTCAATCCCTCCAACATTAATTTATTGGTTTCCGAGTGTCTGGCCGGGGTATAGGGGGACAGGTTCCTGGCCCCAGGTCCCTGGTCCCTTTCCCCAACCCCCTCAGTAAGGAACGGCTGTGCTTGTTCTTGAGGGGCTGTGCTCCCTCCCCACTTCTTCCATGCTCCCCAGTTCAGGACCACATTTTGTAATACTTTTGTAATCTATTCTGTAAATAAGGGCTTGCTTTGTGAACACATACACACACACACACACACACACACACACACACACACAGCCCAGCGACATATTTATCAGGTGTGGTTTGTGGTGCAGTCATTGACTATTTATACACTAGGGCAGTGTTGTCTCTGCTCAGGTGTGCTGAATAAAGATGATAATTTATACCTGCTGGTTCTGCCTTTTAATGACAACAGAAATAATGCTGTAAGGTTTTCTGAGCATTACCTCATGTGCATTACTTCATACCAGTTCTGTGAGGTAGGTACTAGATGGTACCTACATTTTACAAATGAAAAGATTGAAGCTTAGAAAGTGGAGTGACTTGCCCATGGTCACACAGCCAAGAAAGGAGAAAAGCAGAATTGAACACAGATTCCAGTCCTGACTCCCAAGTTCAGCTCTGTACTTCACGTTGCTACATCTTCTTCCCTCCACCCCTCCCCCAACCTTCAATGAGAGGAAAGGAATTCAACCCTGGGATGGCAGAGCCAGAAAGGATCAGAGATCAGTTGATCCTGATTTAGCATCCCCAAATGCCAATCAAATATGGCCCTTTCTCTCTGTTTCCATCCTAATACAGGAGTACAATATTCCCCTGGACTATAGAAATAGCCTCCTAATTGGTTTTCCTGCACCTAATTCTCTTCTCCTCTCCCATTCTGATTTTAAATGCTGTTAGATTTTTCTATTGCTTATCTATAGGATAAAGTACAAATTTCTTAGTCTGGCAATCAAGGCTCTTAAAGTACTTGACCACTCACTGTTTCAGCCAAACTAACCTACTAACTGTTCCTTGATCTTGTCTTGTCTTCTTTTTCCTATGCCCCTTTGTCCATACCATCAACTATGTGTGGAAGAGTCTTTTCCTGACCATCACCCCTTCTCGCTGCCACAAATACCGAAAATCTGTCTATGGAAGTCCTCTTTGAGACCCAAGTCAAGTGCTACCTTCTCTACAAAGCCCTCCCCGGCAATGCCACCCCACCTACCTAAGAAGTAATCTCTCATCCAATCTTTCATCTCTCAGTTTGACCTTTCTTGTGCACACTCTCCCTTATATAGTAATGCTAACTATAGTTCAAATTTCCATAGCACTTAATGTTCATAAAGCATTTTCCTCACAACTTCCTTGTGAGGTAGGGAGCACCAGCATTATCCCTGTTTGGTGGAGAAGAAGCTGAGCCTCAGAGAGATCTAGTGACTTTGCTAATGGTCACACAAATATTGTGTGGCATAATAAGAGAGTAAGAATTTTGGGTTTTCACCAGAAAGTTTAGGGCTTTATGAGTTATTTGTGTATGCATAGTATAGCAGAAGAAATAGCTTTTCAGAAGGAATAGAGAGTAGCCTTTGAATCAACAGAATCTGGATTCCAGTCCATTCTCTGATGCACATGGGCTCTGTGTCCCTGGGCAAATTACTTAACCTTGAAGTGTCTCAGCCCATCCTCTGAGACCAAGTTGTAAATCAGTTGTCCATGCACATTGGGGAGTTTCCTCACCAGGAACCAGTCTATACCAATGAAATCATAGGGCCCATCCAAACAACACACAAAGTAGAGGTTAGGAGGAAGCATATTTATGCTTTTATGCTTCTGGCACTGTGTAGCCATTGATGAGTCATAGAATTATAGCTTTGGGAGTTGGAAGGGACCTTAGACAACATCTAATCCAAAGTCACTTAACCTCTCAGCCTCAGTTTCCTCATCTGCAAAACAGGGGTTATAATAAGTTTCAGTATCTGTCTTCACACAGTTGTTGTGAAGATTGAAAAAGATAATAGACTATGCCAGTTGCTTTATGAACCTAATAGCTATATAAATGATGATGATGATGATGTCTTTCCATCCCTTGTCCCTTCCAAAAATACTACACTAAATTCCTTGAGAGCAAGGAACATCATAAGATGGTGTTGTTTTCCATCTTTGTATTCCCAGCACAGGGCAAATGACTTCACACACAGTTGTTGCTTAATAAATAAATGTATTTGTTCAATGGAAGGGAGCTTAGAGATCATTTACGCCCACACCTACCTTCTACAGATGGGGAATCTGAGGTCCAGGGGAGAGTCAAGAGATGTGGAAGGTGTCTCTGAAGGAATGGCCTAGTGAAAGCAAAGTTTGCAGACTTTGTGTGGTGGTGGTGGGTGGGGAATGGTAGGGGCCTGGGGTTGAAGGTGGGCTGTACAGCCTGAGTGAAGAAAGCAGACAGAATGCCTCTGAACAGTATCGGGAAGAGTGGATGCAGGAGATGGAAGGGTGGATGACTCATTGAACTGCAGCGGCCCCTACAGTTGGCAGGTGGAACTATGACCCAAAGGAAAGCTCTCCTCCTAGGAGCCGGCTGGCCTGAGTTCTGTCAGAAGACAGAGCCTGGGCTTGCTACAAAGTACCCCGACCCGAGTGTCAGGAACACGAACAGCCTGCACAGGAAATATGCTGACATGTAAACACAATGTATAGACATAGATAGTTCATGCACAGATGAAAAAGATGACACTTCCTTTTTCGTCACCCCCTGCCCCTCACCAATATATGACAACAATGTGTCATTGTTGACACACTTCCAGTGAAGTGATGGGTTCCAGATCTGGAGTTAAAGGGTTTGGGCTGGAATCTCAGACTTGGCAAGCCTTTTAATCTCTCTGGGCCTCAGTTTCCCCATCTAAAATGAAATTGGACTAGATAATGCTCAGAGGGTGCAGATTTAAACCTATGGTACCATTGCCCTCCAGCCAGAGGATGATAAACTCAGTGTGCTCTGCCCACCATGGGAGAGGGCCCAGCAGGAATAGCAACTGGTTTATTCCAGCAGTGGGTGGGGTGGGGCTTTGTACCCTATGTAAACTAACTAAGGGAGATGGTGCCACCTTTAGAATATTGACAGATTTCTACTCTGTGAATTCTTGTGCTTGATTTTCCTTCTCTTTCCTTAATTCCCCAGGATTTATTTCCATATTTTAGTATATCGACTTCTCATGCATGTGACTATTGCCTCTACCAGTGTGGGTCTCAGTCTTTTCCATTTGGCAATTCTTATTCATATCCTTGAATAAATTCCCCCTCAGACAAGCTACCCACAATAAAATCCTGTCTCAGATACTTACTAGCTGTGTGATTGGCAAATCACTTAACCTCTGTTTATCTCAGTTTCCTTCTCTGTAAAATGGGGATAATAATAGCACTTTCCTCACAGGGTTGGTGTGAGGATCAAATAGGAGAACATGTAAATTGCTTCTTTTTCTTTTTCGTTATCATCATCATCATCATCATCATTTACCCAATTCTGGAATCAATCCTCTTGATTCCTGGACTCTGAGTGCATCACTTAGACTGCCCATTTGTTTATTCTTCCTTCTGGTTTTGTTACACACACAGATGTGTGTGTGTGTGTATATGATATGTATAAGTATATGTATATGTATATATGTATATATGTGTATGTGTATATGTATGTGTATATATAAACTATATGCGTGTGTGTATATATGTATATATATATTTTTATATATATATATATATATGTGTGTGTGTGTGTGTATACTTATTCTTTTCCAAAGATGTATCTCACATCTGGTATGCAACTCAAAATTAGATTTATGCTGCAGCCCATTAATTATAATTATAATGGGCTGCAGCATAACCCCAATGCTGAGTTGCTGAAGCACTCTCACACATACACTTCTCCTTTCTGTTGTCTTTTGAGTCACCCACAACTTTGATTCTTCCAAGATTGTAATGTTCTATTATTCACAACAATGTAATGTCATTGGGAGTTAACATTGGTTTTAAAAATCAGGCTTTTGCACCATCAAAAAGTTTGGGATCATTGAAGGCATGGTATGTTTTCCTCAATTAGATCCAACCTCATCTTTTTCATTAGATTTTGGGTGTAGCTCATCATCCAGGAGATATATACTGCTATGACCCAGAAGAGAGCTTTAGCCCTAGGAGGTTGGAAAGAAGAGGGCCCTTTGAGCTGCCCAGACTAGCTTGATGTAATCAGACAACGAGCATTTTTTGTTCACTGTGATTTTAAGTGTGGCTATTGAACAGATGCATCTTGAAAACCTCCTAATGGATAAGGAATCCTTCTATTTAGATTCTGCACAAGATAACCTCTGTGACACTTTTGAATAGCTTAGGTGAGCTAATGTCTCCTTATTTGAGGCTTCACTTAAGGCTGAAACTCAGGGGATTATTGGCTGCTAGGTGGCACAATGGGTAGTGTTGGAGCTTGAGCCAGGAAGATTTAACTCAAATACCATCTCAAACATTCCCTACCTGTGTGTCCTGGGAAAGTTATTTAACCTTAGGTTTCACATCAGAAAAATTGGGATAATAATGACACATATTTCCTAGGATTGTTGTGAGGATAAAATGAGATAGCATTTATAAAATACTATACAAATCTTAAAGCATTATACAAATTCTAGCTATTATTACCTCTAAACAAATTTGTCCCTGTGGTTGAATCTGTCAAGGAATCTTGTGTTTCAATTCAAATTCAATCTATGTTTGGGGAGCACTTTTTATGAAAGAGAGATTTTTAAGATCGCATTTTGCCCTATAGAAGCAAAGGCTTTTCTTGAAGCCAAATTTGCAAAAAGACATTTACAGAACAGAAGCAATTTCAGACAAAAAAG